TGATAGTGGATGCTCAAAGTATATAACTAAATATCCAACACATTTCTTAAAGTTTACTAGCCAAAACAACAATAATAAAGGAAAGATCATTGGAATTGGAATTATTGGTAACAAATATAATCTTTTGATGGTTTAAAACATAACTTATTAAGCATTAGTCAATTGTGTGATAAGTGATATAAAATTAAATTTGAATCTAATACTTATATCATAGAGAAACCACATAAAAATCTATGATCGCCTTAAGGAGTGTTAATGATTATACTATTGATCTTGATAATTGTCATGACGAAACTTGTTTTTCAGTTTTAAACGACAATGCATGGCTTTGGCATAAAAGACTACGATATGCTAGTACGAAATCAATCACATAAATTGAAACTAAAAGAGGAATATATTTTTCTTAAAAATTTCTCTCTCTCTAAAGCTTATCAAATTTTTAATAAGAGATCTTTAGTTTATGTTATTTTGTTTATGAATCTCTTGAACTAAGAAAATGATTTTGATGATGATTTTAAATTTTATAATTTGATTTCCTCTCTCTAAAGCAACTTGGATACATCTACTTCTAAATAATCCTTACTTGAGGAATGAAAGTATGTAGATATAATCCTAAGGAGTTATTCGTTAGCGATACATCAAAAGGAGCTATTCTTCACTGAAAAATATTTATTCAAATACATGGATCGAGAACTTTTATTATTTATTCTTGTATGATTTTTTCTTTTTATTAAAGAGAATATCTATCCAAACGAATCATGATCTTTCACTTAATTTCTCGGTATTCATGACTTGAGTTTTCTTTTGAATTAAGATTGTTTACTATTTAATCTCTTATGATTATTTCTTTTCGCTATTTATAAAAGAAGAGATTTATCAAAATTAATCATGATTTTTTTGATATTCACAACTTCATCTTTCATGATTTGAATTTATCTTTAATATCTTTCATGTTAAGATTGGACCATTAATGTAAATTTTTGCACCATTATATTTTTCCCTTCTTTTTTATAATGACAAAAGGGGAGCGAATCGTACCATCTTGCACATCTCAAAAAGAAGTTAAAAACTTGTTAGCTTGCACATCTTAAGAGAAGTAAAAACTTGTTAACTTGCACATATCAAAGAAATGCAAAGACTTGCTAGTTTGCATGTTTTAAAGAGAAGTAAAACTTACTGACTTACTAGCTTGTATGTTTCAAAAACTTGCTAGTTGTACTTTTTTCTTTTTGTTAATGACCAAGTGGGAGAAGTTATGATGATTTGAAATTTTAATCATATGATATACCTTAAGGATTTGGAATCTTAACTCATACTTTGATATTATGATGATGCATATGATGTATGCAATGTTATGTTAACTATGCATATGAAGTGTGAAAGTTTTGTTTCGACTTGAATTCTAAGGTTATCATTTTTCTGAATTTAAGTTTATTTTTATATGATATATAGATAAGGGGAGTTTAGTTAAAATTTCGTCATCAATTGGTTGTTATCATAAAAAAAAAGGAGATTATTGAATCGTAGATTTTAATGATGAAATCAATTGATGAGTTTATGATCTAACGAGTGTTTGAGAAAAGTGATGTAAGACTAACTTCGATCATGAAAAGATAAATCGATTGAAGTAGGAGAATCATACATTGGGCCGGAGTTAGAGATTGAGCATCGGGTCAGAAGGATCAGATATTGCTCTAAGATCGGATGTTATTAGAGGTCAACATATCGATGGATCGAGCAATACATCGAAGGAAAGGATGATGCGTCGAAAGTTCGGACGAAGTACCAAATGAACCAATGACATGTCGGACAGCATGAGATTCATGTTTATAATCATTTATATCTTGATCGAAGTAGTTTAGAATGAACCAGTACAGCTAGACCAGGCAATGAAACCGTATATGAGTTGGAAAGTACAAAGTGTTCATTTCAAAAAACTCGACGGTGGTACCACTCAAACTAGTAGTGGTACCGCCTAGATTGGTGATAGTACCGCCAGAATATAGTCTTCTAGGTTATGTCAAGCGGTGGTACTATCCAAGCAAGCGGTGGTACCACTAGTTCTTAGTGTGGCAAGCAATGGTATTGCCTAGCACTGGTGGTAGTACCGCCAATAACCCGAAAACCCAGTGATGAGACTTTTTCACTCCATTTTTAAAGTCATTTGAGGCCTATAAATACCCCATTCATTCTTTCTTGAAATAGCAAGAAAAAAGCTCAAAAAACTTATGATTTTAAGTGCGTAATCTATGTTAAAGTATTAAGTTCCTTCCTCCTCTAACTTCTAAGTCATTCTAAGGGAGGTGTGAGAATCACTTGTAAAAAAGAGTTGTAAAGGCTCTTTCATAAACCTATGAAAAGGAGAAAAGAGTTATAAGAAGGGTGGTTGATTTTCATCCATTGAAAGATCATAAGTGAAAGCTGATGGCTTTGACAGAGAAGGAATTGGGAGTGAATGTAGATTGCGACGATCGAACCACCGTAAATCCGATGTGCTTTTTCTTTATGTTTTTCATTCTTATTGCTTACTACACTTACTCACATTCTAAATTAAATATATTTCCGATATCGATTTTACCGAATGAATTTTCGTATTATTTTTTCATTTCGAAAGTACTAATTCACTCTCCCCTCGCCTTTACAATCTTAACAACTTAATAAAAATTTATTTTTAATAAAAAATACACGTGTCGATTGATCCATTATAACCTCACAAATAAATCCAAGAATACCTTTTACTCATCAGCCCTTTTCAGCTAAAAGCTGAATGACAGGTCTGATATTTCTCATATCCAGCAGAACTGTATAAGATACCAAGCTTCACCATGATGTTTAATGCGATTAAAAGTTTTCATGTACCGAGAGCTTCACCATATACTAAGAGCTGTTTTCCAACAGCTCTCTTAGTATATGGTGTGGAAATTATATCGAGATCAAGGATAGACCAGTCTTTTGGAGTGTAATTATTCTCAGCCGGAAACTTACTGGTTCAGATGTATCAAGTCTTTACGCAACCAGGCTCCAAGTCTTTAAGTAGACCAGTCTTTTGGAGAAGTAGCTGAGGCTAGTAAGCCACTATGCTCGGGATACAAGCCCAAAATTTGCGATCAGAATCTGAAACTAAAGTCACATTACATTTCACTTCTTTCAGGAAATATGTTCAAGGTGTCCAGTGATTGGAACTTCAATAAGCTCTATTCCGGAGGATAGGCAGTGAAGTCCACCAACAGCAAGGAACTCAGATCATTGCAGATATTCCAGATCATCTGTTATTCCGACCTGCAGCAAGTTCGACCAAAATAAAATTTTTTTGGAAATTATGATCAAATCTTCCTAGAAACAAGCAACATTAGAGGGATGACGTGAATTTGTCAAAGCAGCTATTCCACATATAATTTGCTGATATTTATGGTTTGTTTATATAGTCATTTCAGACATGCTTTCTGACTGAGTTTTCTATAAAACATGAAGAACAAGCTGCATGCATACCAAATTGATAACCACGATCCAGCCACCAGCAGTGATGTTTATTTGGCTAATCAGAGTTTGCCCAGGTTTTAATAGAAGCTTTTTAATTTTGTATGGCAAATATTTATAAATATTTAGTTCTCAACTTTGCATTAACTTTCCGTACAACACCACATTAAGAGGTCCATTATTGTAGAACAGACGATAACATTTAAGAGAGAAATAGGCATACCTATCCAAATATAGAAAGCAGTTTATGGACCATGGTTCCAGTGACAAATACACTTTCTGCATATAACAAAAGGCTACAAATTGACTCTCTAAATCCAACACTGACATAAAGGGTTATGCACTGAGGTGCGCTTTTTGGTATAAGATCACTAAATCTTGGTTCTACTGTGTCGGCAGATATTATTATATCTTACATCCATTTATTACAAGAATGAGAAATTCTATTAACAGTCTCACAATTGACATAATTTACCAACATCAGGAAAAGGAGTAAGGCCCACAGATGTCCAAACACTATAGTTCAAACTAGCAACTTTCCTTAACATCTTATCCAACTTATTATACATCTAGAACTTCCAGTTTAAGGGCACCATCTCTCTATCAAGATTTTCCACATTTATCCATGTCTTTTATAAAACTTCTATAATGAAAATTCCTGAGCAAATACACTAATCTTTTCCAAAATTGGATGATGATGTGGCTCTTCCACTACAGCTTAATTTGCTTAGTAGAGAACCCACAGACAACATGTATCATCAGGAAACAAGTAGAATCAAGGTGTGCCATAAAGCATGTGTAGAGGATATCAGAAAGATGTTTTCATAGTTTGAAGTTATAAATGGTGACAATGCAATGGCATCAGGTTATGAACATAAGCCTAAGAATGCAAATGTAACCTATGTTGCAACAGGGCATATACCTCCTTGTATAAATGTTCAAGTTGCTCTTTGGCTTGAGGGAAGTTGGTTGAACACCATTGTTGTAGGGTAAATATGTTGTCTGATGAATCATATTCCAAAGCTAATCAATTCAGTGTCAATCAAAGGAAGAAATTTATAATTTTAAATCTGGAAATTTTGAGTCTGATAAACACCTGTCCATCTATTAGCTGCTGAATGTGCAACCTCAATTGCAACTTCTGTTATGTCCGAAAAAAGAACATAAAGTTACAAAACTGAATAAAGGAAGATGTGTGATATCTACATAAGCATACATATTTCTAAATATTTAAGAACATTACTAGAGAATCTACTTAAAAATCTTACTGCATCATGGCATCTGTAAAAGAAAGGTTTTGAAGTAGTTAATGTGTTCTTTCTATGTGAGGTGAGACAAGTACTTACTCATTTGTTCAACCGCAGCTGGATCATTGTCTACATAACAGGCTAATTCTTCCTATTATACAGAATAATCTTAGTATCCTGGAATAATGCTCATCAAAAGATGAAGCAGAGTGCTCATACATACCTTCAGCTTGTTATGCTGAAGCTCAACAGCTTTCAGCTCCACCAGAGCAACCTCTCTCTCATCCTATATATGGAAAACAAACGATGTCTTATGTATAAATGTAAAATCTACACAGGAAGATTCCACAATAAACACAGATGCACTCGACTTACAGACTCCTCCCTGCCTTTCTTCAAGTTGTCCCTTTGTTCGATCAGCTCAGCAAAACGGTTCCTACTGCTTGAAAGATCAGACTCAAGCTTGGATCGAGTGTTTCTCAACTGTATATAGATCTCTTCAATGGTCAAAGGTTTTTAAAAATATATAAATACATATCATCAGTATGCAACATTCCACAGATCAACAGTTGCTACCTGATTTCCAGCACAACTAGGAAGACTCCAAAAGTATACCTGACAAAAGAAAGAAATAAACAAATACATAACTATGCAAGTCAAATCAGTCAAATCATGAAGATAAAAGATGATTTTTTAATGCAGAGTAAACAAAAGATCCTTTTTTTTATAGTACTTCAACCTCCACTTACATGGAACCATGGTTTGACATATCACTTGAAACATTACGAAACAGGCAGTACGCACCGGTCCACCATCTAGCTGATATGCGGACTAGGCTGTTTCGAGTGGTACACAAAAAATTAACCTAGTACCAGTTGACACTAGTGTTGTATCGACCATTAAGGATAAAACTCGACCTTTACCAATGCATACAGGTCGACAACGATCATATTTTCAACTGATGCTGACCAGTGATTTAGAAAGGCGCTCGGGCGCTCACCTAGGCGCTCGGGCGAGGCGAGGCGAGGTCTGAGCGCCTCGCTTCACTTCCAGGCGGTGCACTTCAAAGAGGCACTGCCTGGGCGCTCGCCCGAGCCCAAGCGCTGGGCGCTTCAGGCGAGCGCCTGGGTTAAACCAGGTGACCAAACCAAGATTTTAGGTCTGGTTCGGTCTCCGGTGGTTAGTTGGTTCAATCAAACCAACTAAAACCGATATTAGCTGTTGCTGCCAACTCTAACCCTGCTCGTTGCCGTTGCCGCTCTTGCTCCCGCTGCTCGCCACTGTCACTGCTCGCAACTGCTGCCGCTGTCGCCGCTCGTTGCTCCTGCTCCTGCTCCCACTACCACTGCTCGCCGCTGTCGCTGCTCGCCGTTGTCGCTGCTGCTGCCGCTGTCGCCGCTCCCGCTGCCGCTACCGCTACCTCTGCCTCCTTACACTCCCACTCCCGCTACCGCTGCCTTCTTACACTCCCGCTCCCGCTGTCGCTTCCTCTTTTCTCAATTAGCACTCTCTTACACTCTTCCTTCTTCTCCTTCTGTATACTGTTAATAGTATACAGTATACTGTTAATATTGTTAGGTTTATTTGAAATTATAATTTTCAATACTGTTAATAGATTAATAATATATTATTTTGATTTTAATACTATTAATTTTTATTTATTTGAAATTATTATTATGTTTCAAGATAAATGGCAAGTGTACTTTGATGTAAAATTTTATTGTTTTGAATTTTGAAACTTTTTGTTAATGTGACATTATGATTTTGTATCTTAGATTTTCCTAATTTAATAGCATATTTTTATTTAAAATTTTAAATAATTATATTTATTAATTATATTATATATTTTTATATTTTAGCGCCTCGCTTCGCTCAGGCTAGCGCTTAGCGCCTTAGGCGTTTTTGGACCTTAGCGCCTTTTGGCGCCTAGCGCTTTTTAAATCACTAATGCTAACCCACAACGGGTCAAATCTATTTGATCAATGGGGCACCTTTTGGGCTTTAAATTCTCGTCCCTCCCCCCTCTTTTAGTCACTCTCACTCACTCTCGTTTACTCTCTCATTCTCACTCTCAATCTCACTCTTTCTCATACTCACACTCATGATTAAAATTCCTAATGATTAGTGGTAATCAAGGGATTGAAATAAAGCAACGAGTCATGACAATAGGCTAAGTTCCAATGCACTCCAACCATCGCAAGCCTATATGTCACGATCATACTTATCTCAGGAAGCTCCTCGAATAAGTGTTGTTAATGACGATGAGGCAACGACTATTACCAAGTTGAGGATTTAGTACAATATGTCATGGGAGTAGTTACAAGACTAAGTCTGAGAAATCTACTACTATATCGACATACAACTTCATAAGATCGAGGATCTTGATCCATCGGTCATAGATTCATGATATTCATTTTGGCAATAGTATATCAAATTCTCGATAATGACACCTAATCCAACATCTCAACTCTTTTCTTTATAGGTGATTCAAGGCCAATGAAGTAATTTCGTCCGACGGAGACCCATAAGACAAAGTTGTTCCTCGATGGATCCAAGAAGATAATTTTAATTTTTTCTCCTTATAACTTTAGATACACTTTATTCTTATCTAAATATAATTTATATACGAACAAATCAAGAGAAAAAATCTTTAAAATATTTTTTTGAATTTTCAATCATTTTTCAACCTTTTTTTGGACAATAGGTATGCACCAGCATACTGATATATGGTACACCAACACGACAACATGGCATTCCTTGCATGGAACAACATCGGGTCTCCCACATGGCAATGCCTTTCCTTTTATTTAATAAATATTTCCTCTTTTGCAACTTCAACAATTTATCAGTTGCATAGCATTGAAGCATAGATGAAATGCCTATTATAGGTCATCTAGTATATATCGACAATGAAAACATAAGCCACCATTTATGCATTCTGGTATTGCTCTGGACCATAGACAACAGAACCCCAGTTTTCTCAGTCGACAAATGCAGCAGCAAGGTTCTTCTGGACTAGCACCACCCTGATTCGAGGGATAACCATCGCTAGGTTCCATCTCAAAGAATTTTACCTGAGGCAGGACCTCATGACACTAAAGCCTCTCCCATTCAGGAGTCACCAAATTATTTGTTGCCTAGAGAGAGACCGAGAAGAGGAAGTGGGAAAATCTGTTACTGGAAAGGGTGGCATGGAGATTCTCTTTGAGCCATTGTACAGGAAGCACTTGTGCTTCATTCAGAACATGAACTGTCACCAACTCTCCTCACCACCCTCTCTGCTAGAGTAGAATGTGTTGGGTGTGACTCAGCAAGATAACTGGCAACAGCAGACTGGGAATTGATCATGTACTTAAATGGTAATAAAAGGAAAACACCATTTTAGAAATCATTTACACATCAGAAAATAATTTGTATGTTAGCAGGAATAAAGAAAAAATCTAAATTTCAGCAAAGTTTTGGAAATGAACTCACAGAAGTGCCTATTTTGTCCTTCAAAACAAGGTCATCATCCACTAAGCTTTGCACAACATCCTTCACTGACTGACTTATCACACCTTTCTTGGGACCTAACTTCTCAAGCTCTTTTAGCTGAAAATTAAAACACAAGAACACAAGGTTACAGTTCAACTTCAAAGCTGAAAAAATGAACAAAGAAACAGGCTACTGCAGACACTGTCAAATCCAGTACAAAGCTGCAAACTTCATAGTAAGTATTTACAGTAATAGAAAATGAAACACATTAGTTTGAACTTCCAAATGTAATGATCCAAAGGATTAAGATTCTTTGATGAGATCTGATCTGATATTAAATCATAAGCAATATGTGCTATTCTACTTTGAATTGCAGTGGGTAACTACGCAAAAAAAATTGGGTACACTATAATGAATGTAACAAAGATGGAACCACACTATAATTAGAGATAATCATGAGAACAAGAAAACAGTTTAGTGAATGCTATTTACTTCTTCCTCCTAAGAAACCAAAGTGATAAATAATCATTTATCATTAATATACCAAACTTTCCACAAACAAAGTAAAGAACAATGGAATCAGACCCCGGATTAAAACAAGTATATTTCCTTCTGTTCTAATGTATGAACTCTGATAGAACAGAAGTCCAGCTCTGATTGCCTGATTAAATTTCCACCCCTAAAAATAAAAAAAGAGAATTGCTCTCATTGCAAAACAACAAATTCGCTAGTGGATATGCCTTGAGCACTCATGAATATTTTAATATTTCTTCTTGAGCAATAGTCATATCAATATCAGTGAAATGAGGTTAATAAATTCAGCAAATAGATACTTGAACAATTGATTTGAAAAGATATACTGTAATCTTTGTCTTCCAATAAGATCATTGTGGTAAACAGCATATGTTATATGATTATTAAGACAACCACCACAAATTACCAGATTCAACAGAGAAATTGGATCAGGTATAAGAGATGACATTTGACAAAAAGAATGACTCCCTGAACCTTATAATCTCCATCACATATTGGTTTCATTTCCATCATATATATTTCACTTGCAAATGTTTTCAGCGTACCAGACTGTTTAATATTACATAAACTGCTGACCACATTCGGCACATGAGTTTCTTCTTCGAATATAGTTAACATAGTTTTCAAAATGATGCCTAAGTTTGGACACACAAAGAAGTTTTAAATATTCAAAGTGAGTAATGCTGCCATTTATAGCTATAATGAAACAGGGGCAAAGTGATATATATGCATATAAAATCTTAAAAATGCATGCAAATGTAAAGTTATACTAACTGAAAAATGCATTTTACGAATGATTCCTTACTCCATGAATAACAATCATCAATATAAATAAATCGAAGTAACATATCATTAACATTGTAATTGAGATCCATGATTAAAATTGACTAATAAACTGGAGAACTTACAAGAAAGAAATCTTGAGACTCATAAAAAATTTGAAGCATTTGCTCACGTTTCTCCTCCAAAGAAAGACCTCTTTTCTTTGACTAAAACAAGCACAAAGAACCAAGTTTTAGATTTACAAATCCAATTCATAGAAAAAACAAAAGGATATGCTCATCAAATATTGACTGAAACAAAATAAATTCCTTTGGTTTGATTACAGTAGTTGATTAAGAGCTGAAATACTAAACTTCGTGACATGGTTCTGCTAGTTATGTGATCTTAACGGACACTATTTCTGATAATCAAAAAGTTTAAAGTTTATTTCTGATAATCAATAAAGTTTAAAGGCTTGAAATTCTGACATTTCCAATTTTGGATGCAAATTTGTAACCTACTCAAGTCCATCTCATATCCAAGTGCACTTAGAATGTTTTATTCTGAAATCCTTTCTGGAAGGGGTAGGGCATGAAACTTTTGATACTTTTCCAAAACGTACCCTCAAAACAATTAGAAGATTAGACTGATAATTACAGTAAATTATTCTCCATACTCGCATCAACTTCAAATGGTTTCCTTTTTAACTATAATGCCCATATTCTTAGGCACTTAACTACAGTCTCCTTTTCTGTAAGCAGAAAACATCCTCCAACACTTTTGATTTTCAAACATGCTTAGATGATCGGTCGACTATTTCCCACGGTACATTTCTAGCTCAATCAAAAGCTTATCACGCCGTGTTGCACGAAAGAAAAATCTAGCAACAATCTTGAAAAGGGGGAAGGGATCAACAAGCAACTCTATACTGGTGAAAAAGCACAATTATAACGCATCGCATCGACGTCCAAAATCATAAAAGGATTGTACTAAGAAAGAAAATCAAGAAACCCTAGTGAAGGAGATGCAACAGATAAAAGATCCAGCATCGACAATGAGGTCTGGCATCAAAACAGAACCATATCACACCGCAGCAAGGAATCGGGTCCGATCGGAGCCAAAAAGGGACGGGATCGAGGAAGCATACCATTGGGATCACCTATAACGGATGAGACGATAGAGAGATCCCGTCGAGGGAGAGAAAACGGAGACGGTAAACGACTAGTCTAAGCGGGAATCCGAAAGAAATCGTAACCCCGACGAAGCCTGCGTTTTGTAGGCGGTTCTCCGTTCGCACGAACCAAACCCATTTCGCACGTGAGATCGTCGCGTGCCGTGCTACTTGAAGCGTGCGAATGCGGGCGGGCATTTCTCTTATCAGACTATTTAGTACGTAACACTGCAAAAGTAATGATTTTTCTTAATATATGTCCTGTCAAATTATAGTAATTAATAGGATTTAACATTCCATCGAAATAGTACGATAGTATGAATCGGTCCGATTAAAAAAGAGACGGCGAACCATTCTATATCGGAGTGAAAATAAATAAATAAAAATATATATATATATATATATATATATATATATATATATATATATTAAAAAAGAAAAGTTTCGGTGCAATCTTGTTGTGGCTTCAACGCTCCATAACATAACATAGATATAGCTGAAATTTCATTTCTAAGGTTTAAAATTTGGACGCACATCATTCAATAAACAGCAGCGAGAATGATAAATTATTGTATAATAATTTTATCATCTTGACCTACGATCAACTCCTAATCTCTCTTTCTTCAAAATGATCAATTTTCAATTTTACTTTTGATGAATAAAGATAAACTATCCTTTATAGTTTTTTCTTTTACAAGACTAAACCTTACGCTTAAAACATTCCTCTCTCTAAAAGAAAAAACCTTTATAATGCAATAAAAGACTTCTTACAATGTGAACTTCACACTTGAACTTAATGGCTCTTGAAAACACTTACAGTGTTTAACATGGAGTGAATTAATAAAAAGTACTAAGAATACTACTTATCGCTTTGGACAATATTATTATCAAATAATCAAAGTTCGTTCGGGCTAGGTGATACGAGTGCATGTGTATAGGATCACTCAACTAAAACCAGATATCTAAACCAACCTTTTAACACAACATTAAGCTTCTGACGTGTTGTTTGACCTTTTGACAACTTCATTCGATTCCATCCACCAGCGTATTATCAAATATTTTGGTATGTTTATTTTATCATGATATATGATCTTCTAACATGATATCTAATTGTCTTCAATCAATTTGTCTAACTAACCCTTAAAAAAAAAAAGAAGAAAAATCTATTTGGAGGATGGAGACAGACTGTGACTTACACAGGGCTAAATAAGAAATATAAAAAAATATAATGATTATAAATGCAAAAGATTATTTAATAAGATTTCTTCTGCTTACAGGGTTTAATAAGATAATTTCATACGATGAAGGGACTTTAGTGTCAAAGCCGTGTTTGTTCGATGAGTCATTTGTTTACCCTTACTATTTCTTTTCTTATTTTTTGGAGGATGGAGACAACCTGTGCCCGTTAAACCGCCTCCTCCTCCTCCGCTTCCCCCCGTCTCCTCTCGCGAAAGCCATCTCCATTGCTTCGAATCGGAGCCGACAGCAAGCAGATCAGGCGGAGAGAGGCTATCGAGAGGAGAAGCGGAAAACAATATCGAAGATGAGCGTGATCGACATTCTTACGCGGGTCGACGCCATCTGCAAGAAGTACGACAAGTACGACGTCGACAAGCTCAACGCCAGCAACGTCTCCGGCGATGACGCCTTCGCGCGCCTCTACGCCTCCATCGAGTCCGACATCGACTCCGCCGTCCAGGTCTCTCTCTCTCTCTCTCTCTCTTTCTCTACATATATATCAAATTGTTTTGCTTTTGTCAGCGTTGACGGTTTCATCGATCCGTGGTGGTTGATTGGGCGATCGTGGTGTGCAGAAAGCGGAGAGGGCGTGTCAAGAGAAGAATCGAGCTGCGGCAGTTGCTTTGAATGCTGAGATCCGGCGCACAAAGGCACGGTTGTCGGAGGAGATCCCTAAGCTGCAGAGATTGGCCCTCAAGAAGGTTTGACGAATTTAATGTTGTTTAGTCGTAGATTAGATGTTATGTTTTCTCAAGTTGTATTGCATTTTGAATTCTATATCTCTATTTATGAGCGGTTATCGTGATTTAATTTGGGATAGTTTGTGCTATTCAATTGCAAATCGAAGCAACACGTTACGATACTCTTTGCCGCTTCCTCAAAAAGAAGAGGAAGTTGGGGAAGAATGCTGCTAATGAATCCGAGCCCACAGAGTTAATTATAGTGTAGTGGTGAAATAATAGCCCGCAGCTTCTTCAAATCGTTATTGTCTTTCCCTCTTAGATAATAAAGAGAGAATTTTGCGAGACACTCGCAAAATCATGCTTCTTTTATGTTTGACAACGATAGGCACTTAAAATAAGAAAGTTGGAAAAGGAAGATATTTAGCTGAATGAGAATATTGAAAAGGATGGCTAGGTTTTAGTTGCAAAAGATGGAATGAGAAAGGATCTAACTTTTGATGAGTTGGAGCCAAAGACAAAATGCAGATATTGCCTTGGTAATCAATTTAAGATTGAGATACCATGCGAGGAAGAGGAAGATTAAGCCAGGATAAGTATGTGATTGATACTAGAGTTCAACGGTAGAAAGGTGTTCACATGGTATCTTAAATTAGTTTTGAACAAAGTCTTGTTGTTGCGGGAAAGATTGACAAACCCTGCATTTATTCAAGAACTGGATGATAGAATATGGATAGAATGCTTGTCAAATTAAATACATAATTGTTTATGGCATGTCTTGGACTAATGTTCTTGTTAAAACCTGTTTGTGCGAACCATATCTACTTTAGAGCTTTCATTCAACTGAATATGATGCAAGAGTTGTATCATATTTTTTTACATCTTTTTTTTTCCTGTTTAGACTAAGAAACATTAATTATGCTTAGATTCATTGCTGATTACATTATAGCTATTATGTAAAGTAGCGAATTCTACCTTTTCCTATAAATGCTTGAGAAATTAGAAAAACTGTGTTTATAGTTTCATGATGCCATTTTTCTATATGTGGATCTTGTAAACAATGTTGAATTTCATGTATTCATATACCGAGAATGATAAAATTGTAAAATAGCACCAAATGCTCTTATGTTGTTAACTTTTGACTTAGATACCTTATTTGTTGTACTTGATGTTTCTTGTTGTGGACATTGAATTTCCTCTCATCTTTTGTTCAAATTTAATTTTAATGGTTCACTTGAGCTTGAGGTACTTGCCTAGGCTGTAATCATCTAAAATTTACAGTGCCAGATGTCTCCAGCTAGCAGTTTAGTGTTTATTATTATAAAGACTTTCTTGAAATATTTCCAAGTTTTTTCTGTTGAACTTGATGAGTCAAAACCAGCACTATATTTCTTATCTCCTCTAAATCTTTCTTCTCAAAACAGAAAAAGGACAATTATATATCATTTCCTTTTTAGATGTCGAGACTCGAGATACCTTAGTTCAGCAGAATATTTTGTGTTATAAATCATATAATTATTTATTTATTTAGGGGTAAAGGATATAACTTTCCTTTTGGCAATTATTTAGCTGGGTCTTATTTTTTCTTTCTTTTTTTTTTCTTTTTTGGTATGAGTTTAGAATTGGTAGTTCAAATCAGTTGTTGACATAACAAATGTTTAAACTAAATTTATTGACTACCCTTTCTTAGTTGCATACTTTTTTGGATTGAACATATGAGGATACAGCCATTGCTATGTATTTCTGTTGTGTATGGCCTAGGTGCATCGATTTGTCTTTACTTGCTATTACCAATGCACTAAATTGGAGAAAATTATGTGCTTGCAAATTGGTGATATCTCATACTCAGTAAAGCGGTTTCATTTAATTGATCATATACTCTGATTATTTATATTAGTTAGTGAATTGTTTCTGAACTCTGCAATCTGCAAGTTCAATCATTATTGCAATTTGCACATTCATTATGTATGGCACTTTTAAATGTTTATTAAAAGTCATGTCCTTTTGTTTTCTATCTTGTTCATGCAACCATTACGAAATAACATATAGAACAAAAAGATTAGCTGAAGCAAATATACAATCTTCATGATGCATTTAGCACTTAATGTAGTTCTATGACAGGTAAAAGGGCTCTCAAAAGAAGAACTTGCTATCCGGAATGATTTGGTACTTGCATTGCCAGACAGGATTCAATCGATTCCAGATGGCAGTACAAATGGAGCTAAACAAACTGGAAGCTGGACATCTGCTTCTCACATGGAAATCAGATTTGATTCAAATTCAGGTTATCAGATTTTGACTCATTTTGGATGTTTAGATATCATAATTTTCTATTGACCAAGTATAATAATTTTTACTCATGTTGAGTTCTTATTGGTTGTTTACAAATTTTATAATTATTTTATATTTGTGGATATAACCACAAATATGAAACCAGATTCTTAATATCTTCCTTTTTTTCCTGTATTAATAATTTTCATTTGCATTTTTCTTGCAAGATTGATAATTTTTCAAGTAGATTTGGTTAATGCAGATGGAATGTTTGAGAGTGAGTATTTTCAGCAGACTGAAGAATCAAGCCAATTTAGGCAAGAATATGAGATGCGCAAAATGAAACAGGTATTTTCTTTTGAATTGTCTTTTTCATCAACTTCCGTGACATTCAAGACATCTTATTCGTTGTCTGTGGATATATGTGGCTTGAGATATTTGTTTCATTCTGTTTTGCATGCAGTTATCTTCTTGCTCAGCTGAGGGAATTTGTACCATGAACTGAAATTTTAAAAGAGAAAAAATGTAGTATTTTCTGAACTAGTTTCATCGCCCTAAGATTATCTTTTGATAATGAATATATTTTGTCCCATATATGGCATCTTCTGTTTTTTTAAAGTGTACTCCCTATGAACATCTTTCTGAAATTTCTGCTGTTTTGGTCCTTTCTTTTGGCATTAAATTGACCACTTTTTTCCTTTAGAATGGTTGCTCTGCAGAACTAGTCATTGCTTTTAAAAGATTGTGCTAACGAGGAATATTTTTGCAGGACCAAGGCTTGGATATTATATCTGAAGGTCTGGATACTCTGAAAAATATGGCCCATGACATGAATGAGGTTGAATGTTTATATTGCAATGTGAAGTTCTGTCAAAAAATTGAAAATTATGCTAATTTTCTTATATTGTACAGGAATTGGATAGGCAAGTTCCTCTTATAGATGAAATTGACTCGAAGGTTGGTTATTTTGTTCACACTAGATTCTTGTTTTTTATAAGTGAAATGAAGATTTAGGTTTTATCTAAAGCACTACTAAAATGTGGACAACAGGTGGACAAGGCTACTTCAGACCTGAAAAATACTAATGTCAGGCTTAAGGATACCATCAACCAGGTACCTTTCTGATTTCATTGTAAGGTGTAATGTGATATACATTTTTGTCAACAACTCATAATTCATCACTAGTATGTTCTCTGGTTATATTTTTCAGCTAAGATCCAGTCGCAATTTTTGCATTGACATAATATTGTTGTGCATTATTCTTGGTATTGCAGCTTATCTGTACAAGTAAGTTCCATTGCCTTACTATTATCCGCGATGAATTTGTTTTTCATATTAGATTCAGTTCAACTGTGTTCTGTTGTTATTTTGAATCAGATTCTTCTATGAAGAAAAGATCTAATGTCATTCTTTAATATGAAATGTATGCGATGATGCAAATGTTCTGCTAATTTAAAATAGTGAATAAACATTATCTTATATGGATTTAAGTTAATAAGTTTCTTTGTGCAATGTAGAGTTCCTTTTAACTCCCTCTACATATGCCTTTTTCTTCCACGTTAACAGATATAACTATTCCCTTTTCTTGTTCCAGTGTTTTGAAGAAATGAGATGCAGAGGAAAGCGGTACCTGGATTCGTCCTCCATCTTATTGCATTTGCATTTCTTGGGTACAAGATATTTTACGGTGTTACTCTGTTGCTGCTCACAGCTTTTATTATCGTATATGCAATTTGAATGGAAACCCCGGTTGGTTGTTGGCATACTATTGAGAATGTGCTGCTTGTGCTTTGATAACTTATCTTGATGTTTATTTTGCTTTTCATCATTACAAATTTGGATGTTACCTATTAGCAGAGACACGGCTTTGTATATCCATGTATGAAGGCATTTGTGATCCTGAAGAACCATGTGGGTTGCTACTAAATGATTCTTTGAAAGATACTATAGTAATGTTTTGAGAGCTCAAAATGTCCATGGGATTGTCGAATGTGAGGCTCAAGCTGAACAAAGTTGGGAGAAAAAAAATGATGTGTAAGACTGGTGTGATAACCACTATTACCTCATTTGATAGACTTGGCTTTTTGACTTGGGAGATGTTTAATGTTTTCTCTGAAATGTATTGTTGTAGCCTCTTTAACTAAAGAGAGTAGCAAATTTATGTTTGATAATCCATTAAACCATGAATCTTGTTTGCCAACATTTGAGAATGCAGCTGAATTAGCTGAATCCAACTGATTGCATTTGAGTCTCCATTTAGTCCAAGTGCAGAGTAGATTTCAAGGCTAGGTGAGAAAATTGCAAGCAATAGTGGTTAATGCTAACAACTACCAATCATAGACGAACAAGACGAACAATAGTGGTTAATTCTTGTTGGGTCAATCTAATTATCTCACGTTTATCGACTTAATATTTATTATTAAAGAAATTTTTTATCTAATTTGGTCTTG